CCCCAAAACCCCAAAACCCCAAAACCCCAAGATGGGCTAATTTTATTGATTAATTTAGAAATATGCCAAAACACGAGGAATCTCAAGAAGACACGAAAATGGAGGAGGAAGAAGAGAAAGTCGAGGTAGGTCTCCCTTAGACATTATATTGCAACTCTTAATGTCATACCATTCCCTGCTTAAGGTTTTATTGCCTAGCTTAAAGCTCTTGTTAAATCTTATATGGTATAGTTCGTCCAATGCAGATTCAAGACCAACATTAAGAACGAAGATTATCATGTTGAAGAGGACATTATTGATATTTCTTCCCAGACTACCAGGAAGATGCTTACCAAGATGATTCATAGCCTTCTGGATAATGATATCCCTAAAAAGACCAAGTTTGAGTTCTTGATCAATGGAAGAATGCTCAGAGGCACTATCGCTGAAATGATGAAGCTTATGAATCTCTCTAATGATGAAATTGTCGAAATCACCTATACTTTCGCAATGCATAAGCCTAAAGAAGATGAGAAAATAGAGAACGATGAGTGGATCAAGGTCATCAAATCCATCTTCGTCTTTGAAGAGAGGAAAAAGCCAGGAGCCTTCGCAGCCGGCTTCTTTGACGGAACTGTCAAACTTTATGATGAAGAAGGAGAAGTCGTCTATAACAAGCAATTGCATGAAGATGTAGTCAACGATATCATTTTCCAAAAGGAATCTAAGGACAATTGGAGTCTAATTACTGCAGGAGAGGATGCAGAGATTGGTTTCCATAAGCTTAGTAGAGAAGATGGAGAAATTAAGGATAGAAGAATTGCAACTATTTTACAACAAGCAAACGCTCTCTCTTTCTGCCCTACTAATTCTGAAATGATCACCTTGGCAGGAAATGACACTCTGCTTAAAATCTATGACTCTAGTGCTGATGTATTGGCTAAATATCAAGAGAAGGAGACTACTAGCCATAAGAGGACCAAGACTACTGTTGCTTATCTCAAGCCTGTGGCTAAGATTGGGGGTAATAGCCACCCAGTGAACTGCTTAAAATGGATCAATAACTCTGAGATTGTGACAGGAGGTTATGACCACGCTCTTAGGATTTTTAATGTTGATAGAGAAGAGCTTGCCAGCAGCATCTTTACCAACAACAAAGCAATCACATGCATTGACTCAGTTAAAGACAACGTCTTGGTAGGATGCGAAGATCATGCAGTGAGATTATGGGATATCAGATCCAATAGTACAGATCCAGTCAAAGTATTTAAAGGACATAATGGATGGGTCTCTTCAGTCCAAATGAACCCATCTTCAGACTATCATTTCATCTCTAGTGCTTATGATAGCAGAACTTTGGTCTGGGACTTCAGGTGAGATGAACCACTCTACAAGATTGGACTCTCCCCAGCTGAAAAGATATTCGCTTCGAGTTGGAACTCTAGTTCAAGCATTATCAGTGGAGGAGATACAGGAATGTTACAGGTTCATAAAGTTAAAAGCACTGATTAGTTCAACGATCTAATATCTTTGAGGGGTTTTGGGGTTTTGGGGTTTTGGGGTTTTGGGG